AGGGAAGAAAAGGAGGGAAGGAGACGAGGAAGGAAATGAGGGAAGGAGATGAGGAAGGAGAGGAAATGAGGGAAGGATATGAGGAAGGGAAGGAAAGGAGGGAAGGAGACAAGGAAGGAGAGGAGGAAAGGATAGAGAGGAAAAGAGGGATGGATAGAGAAGAAAAGAGGGAAGGAGGGAGGGAAGGAGGGAAGTAGAGGAAAGGAAGGAAGGAGGGAAGGAGACAATGATGGAGAGGAAAAGAGGGAAGGAGAGGAGGAGGGAGGATAAAGGAGAGGAGGGAAGGAGATGAGGAGTGTAAGGAAAGGAGGTAAGGAGACAAGGAAGGGAAGGAGACGAGGAGGGTAAGAAAGGAAGGAGACGAGTAAGGAAAGGAAAGGAGGAAAGGAGATGAGGAAGAAAAGGAAAGGAGGAAAGGAGATGAGGAAGGAAAGGAACGAAGGAGACGAGGGAAGGAGACGAGGAGGGTAAGGAAGGAAGGAGACGAGGAAGGGAAGGAGGGAAGGAAAGGAGGGAAGGAGATGAGGTAGGAGAGGAAAAGAAGAAAGGAGGTAAGGAGACGATGAAGGGAAGGAGACGAGGAGGGTAAGGAAAGGAGGGAAGGAGACAAGAAGAAAAGGAAAGGAGGGAAGGAGATGAAGATGGAAAAGGAAGGAGACGAGGAAGGAAAGGAAAGGAGATAAGGAGATGAGGAAGGAAAGGAAGGAAGGAGGCGGGTAAGGAGACGAGGGAAGGAGACAAGGAAAGGAGGTAAGGAGGGAAGGAGACGAGGATGAAAGAAAAAAGGGAAGAAGATGAGGAAAGAAAGGAAAGGAGGTAAGGGGATGAGGAAGGAGAGGAAAGGAGGGAAGGAGACGATGAAGGAAGGGAGGTAAGGAGACGAGGAGGGAAGGAAAGGAGGGAAGGAGATGAGGATGGAAAGGACACGAGGAGGGTAAGGAAAGGAGGGAAGGAGATGAGGAAGGAAAAGAAAGAAGGAAAGGACATGAGCAGGGTAAGGAAAGGAGGGAAGGTGACGAAGAAGGAAAGGAGAGAAGGAGACGAGGAAGGAGAGGAAAGGAGGGAAAGAGAGGACATGAGGAAGGAGAGGAAAGGAAGGAAGGAGACGAGGAAGGAAAAGAAAGGAGGCAAGGAAAGGAGACAGAAATCGGAGCAACCAGATGAAGCAGCAACCAGAAAAAACGGCAACTGGATGAAGACGCAACTGGAGTTACCAGAGGAAGTAGCAACCAGAGGATACAGCAACTTAATGAAACAGCAACTTAATGAAACAGCAACTTAATGAAACAGCAACTTAATGAAACAGCAACTTAATGAAACAGCAACTTAATGAAACAGCAACCAGAGGAAATAGCAACCAGAGCAACCAGAGGAAACAGCAACCAGAGGATACAGCAACTTTATGAAACAGCAACTTAAGGAAACAGCAACTTAAGGAAACAGCAACTAGACCAACCAGAAGAAACAGCAACCCGGTTGCTTTCTCTCCTGATTCCCTCATCTCTGTGAG